AGAAACATTAATTGCATGTATTTTCACACACGTAATACAATAATATACATCACAAAACTAGAAAAGATATAATACCTAGGTACATAGGGCATAAAAAATAGAAGATACTTTCGGTAATATAATTTTCATAAATTAAGACTACCCGTATAATGTTGCTATAACAATAATCTAGAATTTTAGATTCTGAGCGTAGTGAGGGATTTGTTGGTTTTGCTATTTGTGTGGTTTTTTTTTACTATGAATGGGTTTTTTTATTATTATTATTATTATTATTTTTTGTGTCTCTATGAGCAACTTTTTTACCTGAAATCAAAAAATGGTCCAATCCAAAAATGACAAGAGAGGTTTTTGTTGCATTTTAGATCAATAGATGTCAAGTTATCAAGTTGGTGAATAAAACGTCAGTTTATAATTTCCCTTGCAGTTTTTTTAATAACTAAGCAAACCCGAGAAAATTTATGGAAATAATGATTTCAATATTTTCAATTCAATTTTTTGTTGTAATTGAGGTAAAACATTTTTTGACATTTTGACATAATTTAATTATAATATTATATCTCCGAGTGGTGTCATATGCTTTGGCTATATCTAAATTGATTACACCCATAATTTACTTGTTTTCAAATGTGTATCTGATTTCTTCGTATAGATTTCATAAAACCTATCCATAGTATATAGTTTATTATTTTTTCGAATATTTTACAACATTGAGTAATGTTATTGGTTTATAAGCTTCGGATTTAAATTGATTTTTATCAAATTTAGGAATAGATATTATAAACCCGGATTTCCATTTTCCAGTATCCAACGTTCCGAATACAATTGTAAATATTGAACAAAAATTCTAGGGTTTTTTTTACCAGTTATGAATAAAGCTAGAATGGAATCGGGTCTGGGGCTGTTACTTTTAAATTTTTTGAGCTGTGGATTAATTCTTGTAATATGATTGCTTGGTTGATTTGTATTTGGTTTGGTTTAGTTTGGTTTTTGTCAACAATAGAGCCTGATTTAAAGAAATAGTGGCCTTGTGACACTACTTATACTTTATGGCGCTATTAGAATTAAATAGAAATTGGTATAAAATTAAAAAGAACAAAAAATATATTAAGGAGGTAGATTATATCAAATTTATATCTGTAAAACACAAACTTTTTTTTAAAAGTTAATTTCTACAAGAAATTTTTTTCATGTAATTTGTTTTTGCAAGTTCAGCAATAATGTTTTCAAACGATTGCCGGTAACGATAAAGAATTTATTCAGTTTTATTTTTGGTAAAGAAAAACGTATTTGAATTTTTATACGTTTAAGTATGAAGTGTAAAATATAGTTGATACATAATATTATAATTAAAAAAAAAAAATTTTAACATTTGATACATAATAATTGACTACTTATTAAACACTTATCAATCATAAACATCTACCAAAAATATAAAGTATGCTCTAAAATATAAAAGTGTATTATTATTTTTTTTTTATATTATGAGAGAAGGAGCCCTCGGAATCCAGGAGCCTAGTGCTTGTGCCCCATGTGCACATGCGTAAATCAAGACATGGTCAACAGTATTATTTATAACTTTCTCACATTTTTGTCTGTGACTTATAAGATGATGTTTGTAGTTGTTGTCACTGTTATTATAAAAATATCCACCGAGGATGATGGATATTCGGTCGATGTTATTAATTAGTTGGTTTGAATTTATATCGATTAAGTTAATTTTCTGATTTCATCAGAGTGCTTTTAAATTTTGTTCCAAATTGATTTGATGTCAGTTTTTTCACACTATTAGTGAATTTTTCTCATGACAATTTTTCACTTGATTTTATATAGGATAGGAGTTATGATTTGGCTCTTAAATATTTAAGTTTTATAAAATCCTCTTGTTTTTTTTTAAAATTTTAAAATTTTTTAAGCAATTAATTTAATACACTGATATCGTTTAATAATTTTTTAACAATTATAAACACAATTTGTTATCAAAAAAAATATTAGTTTATCAGTAGGGTAACCTGGGAGGAAGGGTGTTTTAAAGGTCTGGAATCCCTCCTCCATCCGTTATTAAATAAAGTAAACAATTATTAAAAAGTGTTAAAAAACTGATTTTTTTTTTTAAATCTAGACATGTACTGCGTCGTCGGACCTAATATAATATACGAATAACAGATAATTACAGATGAATGTATAGACATAGGCACAAATAAGGATGCTGACTGCGATATATTTGAATTTCAGATAGTTAATATTTCTATTATTTTTGAAAAATTTAAACAATAAATAGTCTCTGACGCCGTATGATACATAGCTTAACAAACTCATACAATACGTACAATGTTTTATTTAAACATTTAAAATAGTATTTTAATGTGTACCGACGATATCATTTAACATCCATATACATGGGTGCCCGTTGGGGGAGACAAAAGGGAGACATACCTTTAGACAACCCTCTAAAAAAAAAATAAAGTTTCCAAAAAATATTATTATATATGCTTTGAATTTATCAAAATAATTATTATTATATTCTTAATATCGATAATAATAACCATAGACTATTTTATTACTTATTACTTTATCAGTGAACACATATTATGTGCGTTCATGGCAGCCATACATTCCTAGCATAGATAATGGAATCTGTCTATTATTTTTATGCTCTATAATAATAATAATAAATTTTATATTTTATAGGTAAATGAAAATAAGAATTTAGTTAAAAGGTGTTTAAAAGTTTATTGGCCATTTAATTTATTTATTGTTTATTATATTATTTTTTAAAATATTTTTATTGAAATGAGTAAATATTGAAGAAATATATATTTACTCCGAAGTGTCAAAAAACCAGAAACTTCTTTGCCTGTGCATAAAGGCATACATTATTATTTTTTTTATTAAATATTAGTAATTTAATATTATAATTACTATATTTTACTTATAATTGTCTACACAAATATTTAATGTAAACTATAAACATTAAAAATATTATAATTTTTTGACTTCAGCACTTAACAGTTTTTTTGAAAGCTAATGTTTACTTAATTACACGCTCTTTCTTCTTCATTCCTTTTCAAGAAATACCAACCTAGTACCTATATTCTATATACTATAAATAGTTTTTGGAATCTGTTTCACGAAGATATACCCCTTGAATATCTCTGGAGATGATAAAGATAATCAAATTCTGTTTTTATTCTTTTTATATTACTCGCAGGGATGAGAACTACAAATATTTATATTTGAATAAAAATTTTTCTTTTCGTAAAAAAATTAAAAAAAAAAAAAATTTTATTTTATTATTTTCTACCTAGATTCTAAGGAATCCTATAATCGGATTACGCGATACCATCGATTTTCACACGGATTAGTAGAATTTAAAACCACTGTTATTTCGAAAATGTTCATCGGATATAAATGTGTAATACATTCAAAATATCAAAAAATAAACTCTACATAATAGCTATCTTAAAATTTTCCGAAAATAATAAAATAAAATGTTATTTTTTTATTTTACAAAAAAAAATTTAATTTAAATATAAATATTTGTAGTTCTCATCCCTGTGAGTAATATTAAAAAAATAAGAATTTAATTATCTATGGAGATAATCAAGGGGTATATCTTCGTGGGACAGCCTGTATATAATATATAACCCTGGTATAAATATACTAAAAGTCATGTATTTTAAAATTCACAAAAAGATCAATCTTTATAAACGCGGGACATTTGGCGACGAATCTAGCCATGAATGTTATCTTCGATGCAGCATTTCAGCAATGGTATTGTGAATATTCAATATTATATTTTAATAGTTATATTCTCAAGTACATTCTGCCGTAAGATACTTGAACCGATACCTGCACCCTCTGTCTATGGTTGACGAATCAGAGCATCATCATCCATTGTATAAATTATTATATTATTGATTTTACTGTTTGTAACTTTCAAGCGCAACATATATTATAAGTCTGTATACAATTGAAACTAATCGCGCATTTCAAGTACACGCAAATAATCTATCTACCGTATTGCTATTACACCTTGCAATTGTTTATAGAATAGGTGGTCAAGTTCGCGCATGTCATTCGAAAAATATACTGCGGACACAAGATAATCAAACGAGTATAACATAAAAAATTATTCAAAAGTTTGTTTTGCTCAATTTCATGATTATAAATTTAAAAAAAAAAGGTAAAAAATAGTTGATACTGTTGTCGAGTGCCCAATTATAGATGGGCAGTGGAAAGGTGGAATATATAAAATGATTTGATTTATATCTGTAATTAACGATAAACCATTGATAACGAAAAACGATCCAGAACGAAGTTCGGTTACATATGTTTTGAAACCTCATAATAATTATGATTTTCGTCAAAATTTGATTTTAACTAATAAAAAAAAAAAAAAAAACAATACAAACATTTTTAAAATTCTTGACCACAAAGTACGACTTATTATGAACCTCATTTTGAATTTTCAATCATTTTTGTTTAGTCTAACAATTTAATTCACAGGGTACCTCCCGAATAAAAATTACGTAAAAAGCTCGCAAAATTAGATTCAAATATTTGAACATTTTATCATGTCTAAAAAAACCAAATATAAGAATATATCTACCAAATATATCTGTCCAAATTTAAAATCTCTACGAATATTTTGAACTTAATTATACTATAGAAAAAAAAATTGAAAATAATAAAAACCATATAAATTTAATTTAAGGGGATCTAATAATATTTTCTTTAAGTGCTTTTTTTGAAGGCTTTTAAGTGCCATAAGTCTCGAACCCTAAATTAATATATATGAAAGTATAAGTTTGCAAAACAATATTTTATTTCTATTTAAGATTTACATGCTATTTATTATTATTGTTTATTTATAATTATAATTTTCTAGAAAAATATTTGTGTTGCTAGGTATTCATCTCAATGTTTATTTATAATGCTTATAATGTTCATAATATNTACTTGTATTTTTCAAGTAAAAAGGGATACACATCATTTGCAATATGAGTGGATTAATCTCTGCTTTATCTAAAGGCTTTCGTTTTCTCAATAATATGATGACATGCTGCATTCCTAAGAAAGTAAGTGTGCAACATCTGTTTTGAATAGAATTTATTTTGTTTTTTTTGTTTGTATTAATCCAATAGGAAATATGAGTATAATTAAATCGTAATACATTATTTTCAGGTTAGGCACTCAAGCTATCCCGCTAACGGATCGGCGGATTGTCCTAATGATCGTCCTAGTAATTCAAGTAATTAATAACATATTATATTTAGGTCTTATATTATAATTGGGATTTCAAGTATTATAAAATAAAAATTATTCCCAAAAATATATAATATATATTTATAAAATTATAATTCACTCCTAATTCAAATGTTAAATTCTCATTAAAAAAAAAATCGCCTTGAATAAATTCCAATTTCATTAAAATCGTTGTCTTGAAAATTACTTGTTTTTACTGATCAAACTTTTTTTAACTTCAAAGAAATAATTAATATGATTTGAAACAAAAAATAGGAATTTAAATAGGTATTTATAATTTGTATGGTATTACTATTTTAGCAAAGTCCAAATCACATTTTGAAACAAATTTAGAAGAAGGTTTAGCTGTAAAGTTCCGGATTGTAGCTGAAGATGAGAAAGATCGTAAAAACGATTTATTAAGTTCTAAGGTGGATGATAAAATGTCAAATTTATCCATTGAAGATTTTAGACTTCTTAGTGTATTAGGAAGAGGCAGTTTTGGAAAAGTAATAATTATTATTAGAAATAATTAGAATATAAGTAAGTAATTTGTGTTTAATTTACTTTCCATTCATATTATAGGTAACATTGTGTCAATACACAAAATCGGATGAGTATTTTGCAATAAAAACGCTTAATAAATGTAATATAATCGCTGAAAATGGAGTGGAATCATTACACTCTGAAAAAAATATATTCGAAATTATTAATAATATCCGTCATCCATTCTTGGTGAACCTATTCGCCTGCTTCCAGACGGACGTAAGTGTACTAAAAATGAGTTATTTATTTCAATTTTAAAATTGTTCGGTTTATTGTTTACAGGCTCATATTTGTTTTGTTATGGAGTATTCGGCTGGAGGTGATTTGAATACACACATAAATAACGGGGCGTTTGAAGAACCAAGAGCAATTTTCTATGCCGCTTGCACTGCTTTGGGCATACAGTATTTACACGGAAATGGTATCGTTTATCGGTGTGTACAATGTTAACTTCATTTTTATAATTTGTAACGTTGTTATTAAGATGGTGCGTTCATTATTTGTTAGTGACCTAAAATTAGATAACTTACTGTTGGATACTGACGGCTACGTCAAAATAGCAGATTTCGGAACATGCAAAAGAGGTGTGGGTTTTGGCGATCGAACAACAACGTTTTGCGGGACGGCCGAATATATGGCTCCTGAACTTATTACCGAAACGTCCTACACGCGTAGTGTAGATTGGTGGTCTTTTGGTATACTGATATATGAAATGCTTGTTGGGAAAGTAAATATATTTTGGATATTAATGTGTAACATATCACCGTAACTAATATAAATGTTTATCACATATAGTGTCCCTTCGCAGACGACGATGATCTAAAAGTACTTCACTCCGTAGTTAACGATCAAGTTCGATATCCCAGTAATCTATCTTCCGAAGCGATTTCAATCATGAGCAAAGTATGTTTTTTAAAATTTATCTTAGAGTAAACTATATACTTACAAGAAAATGTTTTATTATTTTTGTGGACATAGCTTTTATGCAAAAATCCGGAGAAAAGGTTAGGTTCACACGAAAGAGACGGAGAAGACGTAAAACTACAAGAATTTTTTGGAAAAATTGATTGGGAAGATTTATTAAAGAAAAAAGTTAAACCTCCATTCGTACCGACTGTTGTAAGCATCTTAGATATATCTGTTTTGAAATCTAATGTTAGTTCTACATAATAAATTATACTAATAAAAAAAAAAATTAAAATACAAAATTAGAATTCGCTAGAAGACGTTGGAAACTTCGAAGAAGAATACACTTCTGAGACCCCAAGATTGACTTTAGATCCAAGATTGTTAACCAATGAACAGGAAGAATTATTCAAAGATTTTTCGTATACAGCCGAATGGTTTTCACATAAAGATTTATAAAAAGAGGAAAAGTAACATTTCCATTCATAGTAATGTAAGACGAATGTTTCTTGTCGAATTTATAACTATTTTTAAAATCCGTAACCTGTCAAAATTACCGTGTTCGACTTCACTCGGTATCAATTTTGTTAGGTATTATTTTTGTCGGCGTCTAATTTTAAATGGAAAAAGCAACAAAAACAATTTATCCAGTCACATACCTTTTATCATTTCATTTAATTTATTGAAGGTTGCAATATTTTCATTTTGTTTTATATACCATGGATTCAAACATATTCTTTCAATCAAATAATTGTTAATTTATTTTCTCTTTTTAATTTTTTGTATAATAGTTTAATTAATACCAATTTTTTTCGTAAAATATTGTAAATAAATAAAGTGTTATTTTTGTAAATCATTAATAAATGCATTTTTATGTAAAATGTTAAAAAAAAAATATGAGATAAAAATACCTTGCGCGACCACAAATGTGTGTTACAAATAATGATGCGACTCATAGCGGGTTAAGGATAGTTGTTGATCCCTTAGTACATCAGTGATTGATATTAAATTTTCTTTACATGGGTACTGAAAACTGATTTCTTGTATGTAATTGATTTAAAACACCATTTTTGGTAGCTAATATTTAAAAATCGTTATTTACTATATCTGATACTACGGCTAAAATATTTTAAAAATCCATTTTACTACGACCAACATCTGGAACACGAATACGACAGTTTCCCAGCTTAAATTTATAATAACTGTATTAATATTATCGCCTATCCGTAAAACAATATCGGCATTACCAACATTCATCGAAATCGTTACATATACAAATAGAACAAATTTAATCAATATACCAACATTTACCAATAACTTTAGTGTATACAGACATTTATCTATTTAGAACATTGTTTATGTATAATTCTAAAATTTTTGTTCAATTTTATTTTGATAAAAATTTTGTGTTTAATTCCACCAATAAATAAAATTATACGAAAAATGCATGTAAATTTTGTATAATCAATCACAAAAATACGGATATACTAAGTACATTGGTGGGGAGCCACTGTTGTATGTGAGAAATTGAGAAGGTAGATGTGAAGTTTAATGTATATCTGTACGCAACGATTAACCATCGCTAACGAAAAAAGATTTTGAGGAGAGTTCGATTAATAATGTTGCTTTATCAACAATAAATATGTTTTCCGGTTTTTTCTCAGTTTTATCCATGCTTTTCTCATTCATTGGGAAAACTGGGAAAATCAAAACATGACCTTCATATAGTACCACTTCAGTCAGATTTTTTTTCAGAAAAAAATACTCTTATTGTAAGTAAATAGGAGCGAAATTGCCGGCAGAAGAGTTGTTCACAGGAAAAAAAAGGCGTAATATTTGTTTTACTAATATTTACGTTCCGTACATTTTCCATTTTATTCGGGTTTTCCCAACTATGGGAAAAACTCCCGGAAAAGTAAAAAAATAACCTCCCTAAAGTTCCATAAAGATAAAATTGTCTTTCAGAAAAATTACCACACTTAATACGTTGGAACAAAATTTCTGGTAGAAAAGTTTGCACAATAAATTGAAAGGTATTTTTTGATTACAATAGTTCGAGCGAGCGATGTCTTGGGTCTCTAGGTACACCTAAAATACCTTTTTTTCTCCGTTTAAGTAAAAGGAAAAAAACAAATGTGAACATTTTTTTTCGGAACACTGGTTTTGAAATCGTGGCTTTAGGATAACAATAGTTAGGTAGCACCAATAAGTCACGGCAAATAAATAAAATAAAATAGACCATATAGAGATATTTAACATATTATATAATATCCGCATAATATCAGAACTTAAAAAATCTATAATTTCAAAACTAAGTTAGTTCACTTAATTCTAATTTCAACATAGTTCTTAAATCGACAATATACATATGTTCAAAACAAAAAATTGAAAAATTAGAATTGTTTCTTTTTAAACACATTACTGTAGTGGGTAAATGATCCATGATTTTACTGTACAGCACTCCTAGGAAAATTAAAATCCTCAAGTTATTATGGAGATAAAATTTCCTTTAGGAAATAACATACACAAGATTTTTGGTATAAAAGTTTGCCCAACAAATCGAGGGGTGTTTAGCGATTAAAATAGTCAGAATGGCTTGGGTCTCTAGATACACCTAAAATGTACTTGTTTTTTTCTTGCTTAGGTAAAAAAGAAAAAAAAATGAAAACATTTTTTTTCGAAACATGGGTTCAAACTCGCGTACTCTATTAAGTAGGTATAACCATTCATCAACGACAAACATACTTTAGAAAAGAAAATATCGTGAAAAACCTAATAATGTAAACATATTGTTGTTCACTGCACTTAAAAATTCCAAAAATTTAAATCTGTATAATGTAACCCTTTAAATAGGGTGAGCTTGTTAAAAAAATGACCCTGTATATCATATTGCATCGTCATAAATATAAAATAATTGTATAAATAATAATAGTTTCTAAAAATTATTCTTATCTATCCTCCTTTAAAGACGAAATCATTTGACCACCACTAATAATAAATAAAGTCAAACATTTTTGTTTTTTATTTTGTAATCATAGTGTAATCACTAAAAAAAGTTTAAGGATCTTGAATTGTTTAGCGCAAAAAGGTACTTAAAATTGTAATAAGAAGTACATAAATACAAGATACATTGCATTTACTATACAGACACAAGATACAATAGATACAATTTAATCTTAAATACATGTATCTGTGTTTCTGACTAATTTTGATGATACTCTTGCCATAAATAAAATAAGCATGAAAACACTTAGTTATACACGTAGTTTTACTTATAAAATACCGACAAAATTCAAGATTTAATTCATATACTTATATGCCTATTAAATGATTATAATATTATCTTGTAAATATTGTACATTTGTAATAACGTTTAATAATTTAAACGCATGACGTATATTTTATGATATTCATAGGTAATACATATGTTTTGTCTGATAAATAAAATATAAACATAAACTGTTAATTATTCAGTAACTAAACATAACCAGATATTATTTGTGTACCTAGCTACCAACTACTTAATCGAAATAAGTATATAACTTATTAAATATTTATATTACAATATTTTTATTTTTACTTTTATTGTCGTTGTTTTTTTCATACCACTTTTTATTTTAAATTTCAAGTTTAGTGAAGAGGCTATTAGTTTTAATTAATGATTTTTTTCTCGGAAAACACATAAAAACTCAGAAAAAATGATTTTTATACCTTCAGAGATGCACTGTACTTTATTTGAAAATTAAATGTCTAAATTCTCAATACGCTTTCCAAAAAAACTGCATTGTTTTTTTTTTAAACACATTACTGTAGTGAGTAAATGATCCATGATTTTATTATACAGTACTAGGAAAATTAAAATCCTCAAGTGATTCTCATGGAGATAAACTTTCCTTTCAGAAAATAAGCTACACAAGACTTTTGGTGTGAAAGTTTGCACAAAAAATATCGAGGGGTGTTTTGCGATTAAAATAGTCCGATTGGCTTGAGTCTCTAGATACACCTAAAATGTATTTGTTTTTCCTTGTTTAGGTAAAAGAGACATGGGTTCAAACTCGCGTACTCTAACAAGTAGGTATAAACATTTAGCTACGACAAACATACTTTAGAAAAGAAAATATTTAAATATTTAACATAACATATAATATCCGAATAAAAATTGAATAATTAGATTTGTTCCATAACATTCTTTACTCAAACAATTTTCGTCAATATTTGATATTAAAATTCATTAATTAAATTATGGAAAAACAAATTCTGATTTTTGGAATTTTTAAATGAAGTAAAAAACAATATTTTCAAATACTTCGATTTCTCACAACACTTTTGGAGTATCCTGTGACAATACCGAAATTTTGATATTAAAATTCCTTTATAAAAAAAAAATGGTACATTAAACCCAATTTTTTAACCATAAAGTAAGACTCTTAATGAACCTCCTGTTAAATTTTCAAGCATTTTTGTTAAATCTAACAATTTTACCACAGAGTACTTACTGAATAAAAATTACGTACAAAACTCACAAAATTAAAATGTCTATAAATTGCTTAAAAATGGCTTAAATTTATTGAAAATTTTACTTTGTATAGAAAAATCAAACATAAGTTTTCTGCTCGTATTTCAAGTCTCTACGGATATTTTAACTGAATTACAACAAATTTACAAAATTGAATTAATAATAAAAGCATTATTTTCATAAATTTTCCGTTTTCTTACGTTTAATCCTGGTTTTTCTTAGATATTGTGAAAATTTCTTAGAAAATCAAAAAATGACCTCCCAAAAGTACCATCTGGATAATATTTCCTTTTATAAATGGTGCTAAGCGTAGTATATATTGGAGCAAGATTTCTGGTAGAATTTTTGTACACCGGAAAAAAATAAAAATAAAAAATAAATATTTTAAAACCAATACATTCTTCGCTACTCTCAGAATCTAAAATCAACTGTTCTAAAGTGTAAACATTATAAGTTGATCAAATAAGAGAATATTTGAAATGCGTATTTAAAGAATATTTTCTAAAACTAAGTACTCTGACGTTGAAATAGGTTGGTAGATTTCACATACCTATTACGCGAAAAGAATTTTCTCAGAAGAATTTTATTAAAAATAAGTATTAAACATTATTATACTCGTTATACAAATCTAATTCAAGTTATACATATTAAACTCAATTGTATTATTATATTGAATTTTATTTTAAGTTCAAATGAAACGTAAGAAAACTTATATTTAACCTAAATTTACAAGGAGCAAAAATTGTATATTTAAACTGGTTTTTATGCAACCTAGCGGAAAAACGTAAAAATTCCGGCTGGTATTATTTTATCTGAACTATTTATTGATATTCTTAACATTTTACTGGGCGATTTTTTTGGTAATGATAAATCAGTGATAGCTTGTATTTCGGAGGAGAAATAGGAGCACTCTTACCTCCTTCCCCCGAGAACTTTTTTAAAA